CGGCACTGTGCTCCGTACCAGAGAATGGCTGTCAGTCCTTACCGTCCCAGGGAGACGAGGCGCAGCCTCGCTAGCACAGCCTTGGGCCAAGCGCCCGGCTGCTCCTCCATCCTGTCACGGATGCAGATACCCGAAGCAACGCCTGTCAGAACGGACCCCTGGGGCGCTCCATGCCTCCGGCTCAGCGCTGGCGCTTCCACTGTTGACCCGCTTGGACACAATGAGCTGGTACCAAGGACACAATGGACTGGTACCAAGTTTCGTCTAGAGTTTCTTGTGTTGCTGGCTATCTTAACAGCGCGAGCAAGGAGGTCTGCCAAAGGATTATGCTGCAAAGCATGATTTTAACCGGACAACCCCACTCCCATGCACTGGAAGAATTCACCATCTGAACTGCAAAACACAAGAGTTCTGACTACAGTGAAGTTGCAGCTCAGGACAGTGAGAGCAGCCCTCGCCGCCTACTAGCATGCCCAAGACCTGCCCTGGCCAAACCCTCTGACTATACGAGAGCCATAACAGTAGCTGACAGCCCTTCTACAACTTCTACTAACCGTATCCGAAACGGGGGCTTGTGGGGAAGAGGAGGGCAGACATCAGGAAAAAGGCCACAACCAAAGGTCGCTGCATCCTAAAACTTCTAAGTCTGTTCCTCAAGTCATTTTGACTTGTCAGCTGACTCCCCCCTAGATACTCCTAGATGCTCCTCCACATCCTCCCGTCAGGAGGAACGCAAGGAGGCCGCTGGAGAGAGACCAACCCACTGCAAACTGGGGCTCGTCGGCGTAGGCCTTCCCCTTCCCAAATCCCTCTTCTCTGCTGGACTCCCAGGTCCAAGAAGAGGAACCACAGCGCTGCCCCCCTCACCCTCACCTTTCAGAGGGAAGGGAGCAGGCAGCACAGCCTTGCTACAGCTCAGCAGATGATGGGGGAAATCAGCAATCGAAGCATTTTGATTTAACAGATAGGAATATCGCATCCAAGATTCCTGCACCAAGAAACGCCATTTGCCAATAGGCAAGAGGTCTGCCTGGGAGTCCCCTTCAGCTCCTGTTGCTGCACCCTCCCTTAGACAGAACCTCACCCCAGTACTGTGAGCCACTGCCTGCTTTATCATGGTGCAGGGCCTCGAGGAAGGTAGGGGTAGGGCACCTCTGCTGACAGTACTGCTTGTGGGAAACAACACAAAAATCCAGCAGGTGACCAAAAAAAAAAAAGAAAGAAAAACAAAACACAACGCACAACCCCTCAGTCAAGAGACCAGAAGAAACAACTGTGAAATAAATGACTAATACAAGAGAAATGGCCCAGCCCCCATTTGAACCTTTGTTGTCACCTTACTCAAACCAAGTTTATCCGGGCTCTTACTTACACAGGAAACCTGGATTGACTGAAAAATAACTTTTAATCTTTGAACAGTGCATCTCTCCTCTCAGCAGCCTTGTTAAAAAACACATAGAGAAGTGTGCTCAGTACCTTCACTTTTCACAGTCGTGACTCAAAACCACCTGCAGGTAATCTTTTAAAACATTTCCCTTACAGAAACATTACTACACCTCTGCAGAAATGTAGTCCCACCTCAACAGCAATTGAACCCTAAAGCATTCCCATCACCTTGGGCTCTTTATTTGTTATTCCGAAGCAAGTAAAAAGTAAAGTAAAAGTTAAGTAAAACTAGAAGGCAGAGTCTGAAAGCAAAGGGGTGGGGAGGGAGGAGAAGATCATGCACATTTTAAATGAGCTTTCCTGTCATAGTCTTGTATTTTTAAGGCAGTCTATCACTATGTCCTAACTCTGCATATGAAGAAAAGATTAATCACTTCAAGTGTGCTTTCCGTGTTGTCTGAATGCCAGCACAGATAGGAAGACGAGCCTTTCCCATCAGTATCAGAGAGGGGAGAACTGACATGAGAGAACAAGTGAAATACAGAATCAGCTTTTGTCCATCTGCCAGCCTCCCACTCCTCTTCCTGTCCTAACAAGACAGAGAGGTGCCTGGGCTGAAATCAGGTCAGAAAGCATGAGCGTTGCACACAAGTTTCCACACCAAAGGACAAGGGAACAAAAGGAGACCTTGCCGACGGGAAGGAGACCGATCAAAGCGTAAGAGTGTGCTTGAGCCACAGGACAGACCTCACCGTTCTCCCCTCTCTGCCCGTCCACTACCAATTCAAATCAGCCATCTCTGAACCCCCAGCCTCTGATAGTACAGAGAAAAGCACTAACATTGACCGAACGCAAAAACCATCACAGCCAGACCTTACACTTGCAGAGGAGGGTTGTCTTTTCTCTTGCTGAGGTTGCCAAGCCCATGCAAACATTTATTTTAGTCGGGCTGAAATTAGCCTGCTGTTCTGCAGTCCTAATGAACGTAGGATCTTTTCCACAGGGCCAAGAATTTGTGCAACAGCTATCTGGGACATTTGAAACAGTAAAATCTGATTTACAAGCGTCGGTCATGTTTTGGTTAAAAACAAACTGCCCTCTAGAGGGTTCCAGACATTTATCAGTTTTATTGGCATGAAATCTGCGAGAAAGCGTGGTGAGGAAACAGCTCTACCAAATCCTGATGCGTGTCTGGGGAGGAACAACCGAAGACAGAGAACCTGCTGTGAAAAACAGCAGGCAGGAGAAAGGCAGACAGTGCTATAACCAGGACATGGGAAAAAAAGGGATTTCCCATTACGAAGCTCAAAGATGAGTAAGCCAAGAGATTAAATGGAAAACAATAAAAATTGCTTGTGGAGGACTGATTTGGTACTTTACCAAGAAGGCAGGAGTAGAGCTATGATACTGCTTTTGGGAAACCGTGGACCAACAGATGACGATTCGGGAGCCACCTCACTTTCTGCTCAAGAAATCCTGACCAAAAAGAAATGAATTGAGATACAAAGCTCGTATCTTTCTTCAGGGGAGACACACATGAGGGAATTCACCAGGATCTTCGGCAGCATTCCCAGACACTGCCCCACAATAAAAACAGCTCCTTTTTTCACCACTCAGAACCGAGAAGCCCATTTCTCCAAACCCCGTATCCTTAGGGACAAGTTGAAGCTTGAATTACTGACATTGCTAACACTGCTAGCATGAGAAAATTCCCTATCACAGTTAAGCAATAGAGACCACATCCCTCAGGCTGTAGATCAAATGCTCTTGGGCAATGCTGAGAATAAAGCAAGTCTTTCCTTTCCTTTCACTTCTTGGGAATCACCAAACAAAGCAGAAAAGAGGCAGACAGATCCATGACATGTTGGGTGAAGAAAAAAGGAGAAAGACTGCGATTTCTCTTGTTCCCTGAAGATGATCTCGATTTGTTACAAGTCAGGGGAATTCAGGCACTCTGTAACTGAAAACACTCAGTCTTCCTTAGGAAAAGCCTCAAACTCTCCCTCAAATTCACAGGCCTGCACCAGTATTGAAGAAATACAGAACAGAGAAATAAAGCATCTGGAAGACCTGTCTTATTTTTCAACTTAAAGGTGTGTTACCCTTAAATAACTAGAAAATACCTAAAGGGATCAGATACAATGCTTCGTTTTACTGGACTAGTGGAACAGTACATTAGTACAGTAACAGAATTAGGTTTGGACATGTTCATTGTGGACTCCAAACACCAGGATTTCTTTTAAGTCTCAATACTCCTCCAGTGAATACTGCACTTCATTCACAGTTAGAAGATGACCTGAAGCATGCTCTGGTCTGAACAAAGAGCTGATCCCATTCGCCTCAGAAACGGCACACATGACCTAACAACAATTCAACTGTCATTACATTGAGGCAAAAAACAGACGAAGGGATTTACATACCCTGAACAAAATGCAGAAATCAACTGGACTTCAATGCATATTTCTGAAGTGGGATCATCTGGCCTGGGAGAGGACTAGTTACTTTTAGTTGTTCTCCGTATGGCAGTGGGGAGAGCTCAGAAATCCTCCTGCCTGAAGAGCTCACTGCTTTCTGACAATCTGCCGTCACCCAGACACAGTGCTGTCACACTACCTAGTCGACCAGTGATTTGCGCATGATTTCTGAACAATTATTGGAGAACAGGAGGAACAGAAAACCTGATGAGAATACTACCTATACAACAGGAACTTCTGACCTGGGCACACAGTTGCCTTTTCAAATTTTAAGCCGATCTTGAAAAGAAAAGGGACAAGCAAAGGAAAAACCTAAAAAAACCCCCTCACCAAACCACAAAAAACAAACAAACAAAAAAAACCCCAACAAAACAACCCCAAAACCAAAACAAACCAAGCCTAAAAAAAAAATAAAAATCAAACAAACCCCCCAAAAAACCCAAACCCACCAAGCTTCAAGGCAGAGAGAGATGACTATATCCTAGCCACCTCCACGGCCGTGCTCTGGAGTAGAAAAGCAGGCCTTTGGGGAGTAAACAGCAACTTTCTATTTACTAGAGAAGAAACTGCAGAAGAATCTGTCTTCCCAAGAAAACAGGGAAAAAAAAAGAGACACCTGCCTGAGGCTGAACTGCCAGGGTATCAGGCACCTGACTGATAAATGAAAGTGTTCTGCTAAGATACATCAAAGATAAGCTGCCATAGCCATTTCTACCTCCTCGGGAAAATAAGCTTCACACACTTCAGGTTGGAAAGGCGATTTAAGCAAGTTGCTCCTGGAAGACATAGAAGGAGATACTGTATCAGTCATTTTAAATGAGAGGAAATGAAAGCAGTCTGAAGGTAGATAAAGCGCAGTTTGAGCTCACAGTTTCCTGTAAATCTGGACTGAGGTGGATATTTAGACTCACTTCAGCAAAGATGCCATTTCACGCTGAAGTGACAGGTTCCCAAGCACAACAGGGATGCTTGAAAGAGAATCTAGCAAAGAGAATCTAGCCAAAGTACATCTGTGCTGTAGCATATTCCTTCTCAAATTACAAAATTCTTCACAATCATTAAGCAAACCCCTTCCCCCCACAACAGCTGTCAAAGTGTAAAGAACCAGAAAAAAAAAAAGGCCACTTAAATTTCAAACTTATTCTTTTAATGTCTTAAAAAGGTCACAAGATTGCTTTCAATCTTAATAATAAATTTTATTTGGACAAGTAGAGAACGACTTGTATCACAACAGCTTTAAACAACATGATTAAAGACTGCAGCGCTCCAAGGAGGCTCACAGATATGTACAGTATATGAAGAAAAAAGTTGCACCTCAGAGCCGATCATGATCAAGTTAAAAATACCTGACTTAAAGTACATGTGCTAATAAATTTCCTTTAGGTCATGACCAGCATGAAAATAATTAGGACACAGGTACTCAGCAAAGTTTTCTGATAATGGGTACAGCAATATGCTGCATTTAAGGATTAAAATCAAATTCTAGTTTAGTGTTAGCACTGAGCCCTTAAGAGAAATCCAAATTTCTACTTTTCCCCATTTACAAACATCAAAGCTATTCCCACTTAAGGGTGTGCCCAGCTGCACACAAATCAAGTCCTTGAATGATAAAAACTTTTAGCGCTAATACTGGAGGTCTTACATCCCGGTATAAATTTGCCTTTCTGGCCATTTCATCTATCAGTTGCTACAGAAAATACTTGCTAAGTTAACTCCTCAGGAGAAACAATGCAGGTCTCTGGAAATCACATCCTTTCTACAATGAAAATGATCTGCCAATTCAAGTTTCATTTGTTCAGGAAGACAGAAGATTTAAGGCTTCGGTGGCAAAAATAATCCTCTGAGCAGTGTTTTTCTAAAGTCAAGCTGACACAGGTATGTTTACTTTTTCTTGACTTAAAATCCCTGGTATCAGGTTTAGATAACATCCACCTGTTAAGTCTGGCAAGAAATCTCTCCTTCCAAAGAGGTTGTCCTAGATCAACCATTTTAGAAGCATTTGAGGATAGTTTGTTTAAAATTTTTTTAATTATAGCAACATTCAGAACTTCTAATAAGTTGATGAAGCAGTGCTCATGGCATCATCTGCAATTTTGGTACTGGCAGGGTGTATGCTTGCAAAATATTTGACATCACTGTCATCATCCATTTGAAGCGCCATAATTGTTTGCTCCACAGCTTCTTGATGAGAGTTGGCAGAATTTAGAAAATATTCTGTAAAAGAAAATGCACAAGACTTATAGGAGGAAAAGATGGCAGATACTTCAACGCAAACCTCAGCATACTATCATGAGGTTCAAAATCTCAGGAGACAGTGCGCACGTATAGTCAAACTGGAATATCTGAGCAGGTACACAATACACTTCTGAATAAACCTACGAATTCACATTTAAAAAAATAAATCATTCCATGTTTCAGAGCACAGTTGCTCTAACAGTGATGTTAGAGTACAGGATTTCTAGAGTACAGGTCCTTTAGTGTAAATGTAGGCATGACAGACTCCATGACCAAAGAGGAAGAAAAAATCTGCAAGAGACTCAGGAGTGTGCTTGTATTTGTGATGGAGAGAAGGTATCACAAACCCATGGCCATGCAACTCCATTTCACTGGCAGGTTTGCCAAATAACTATCAAACAATAAAACTAAGATAACATGAAATAAGAGTGGAAGAAGTTCCAACATCTGACAGTTTTCATGAAGTCCACAACACAAGTTGCATAAAAGCAGCGTAACTACAAACAGCTCACAGGAAGGCCAATTTAGATCTGAGGTTTAAAAACTTCTGAACTTATTTTTTAAATCTGCCTTTCATAATCTATCCACCATCCCTAATCATACACACAACATCTTTGAGGCAGGGACCACCTGTATTATAAGCTTACATAGTGGCAATGCAGAATGGGAGTGTACCATCCAGGTGGGGAACACAAAAATAACGAGGACAACAACAAAAATACCAATGCTACATGATAACAGAAAGAACAGTGACAGCCTTGGCACAGTTAACAGAGGATAAATTACTGCACATCAGCTGATCCATCTTAACTGTCTACATATACCTACTCAGAGTCTCCAGCACGCACAAGACAGCTAGCAATAGCCTAGTTCTTACTGTGTTGACATCCTTTGTCTTGTCCAGTGTTTTGAACATTTTGCATTTTTCTTCACACTTTCTATGCTAGAAACAGCAGTCCTCAAGCCAGTGTATGGTTTTGAGGAAGAAAGTGACCAGAACTGAATGAAGTATTCCAAGTGCGGACACTGCTGGTTTACAAAATAGCATAATATTTCTAATGCTATTTTCCTTTACAGTGCTTTTGAATCTGAGCACTGATGACTCTTCTGGCATCTGCTCTACATTGGGGATGCTCTCCTAAGCAAAGTCTACAATTTGGAAGTTACATGTCTAATTTCCCTGAAGAGACTCCAGAGAAACTTTCTTCCTGCGGCTACCATAAAATATAAAAAACAAACAGCAGCCATCTCTTCTCCCCCAGTGAGAAAACAGATGGTGGATTTGTATGGAAGAATTTTTCTTTTTTATCCTTATTACACAGAACATCAACAGAATTTTTTTTAACCAAATAAAAGGCACTGCTCAACAACTTCACAGTTGCTAGTTGTTCATTCGTGCTTTCTGGGCCCTGATGACACTTCTACAAACTAGCTCATTCAGGGAAAATGGAACAAAAGAACAGGCTGGCACATGAGCAAGAACTCTTGTTTCCCCAGCGTTACACAACAGTGGCTCTGATACCACAACAAGATTTATGATTTTTTCTCAGCCAAGGTAACATTCCACACCAAGGAAACTGTAAAAGCAAGAGCAACCCACATCTGATGTTGTTTCTTCTTTCCCAGCTGACTAAAGGAAAGTGGAAGGACAAAAAGATATGCAGTCAGCCCATTGCAACTCTTTCTGACCACTAACCTTTCTCTAAGAGAGTTTGCTTTAACGTTTTTGCAAGCAGGACTCGAACATTTGGAACCCTGTCAGATGCCAAGTGTAGTAAGTGTGGCAACAGATGCACAGCAAACTGGTCCATGGGCAGGCAGTCATCTTCACTGATAGTCTGGCAAGAAGACAGAAGCAATTTCATTAGATTTCAGCACAGTGAGGATAAAAACCCAACGCATAATCAGAGCTGACAGATCTTATTACCTTCATAGCATGAATACAGTAGGTAGTATCCACAAAGTTTTAAAATACAGTACAGTACTTTCTAGCACAAAGTTATACACAATGAAGCAAGTTAGGGTTGAGGAAATTCAGGCTCAGTTAGAAGCCCACTTTATCTTGTATGAAGTCTGGCAACTTCCTTATTTTTACTGGTTTTGTTTTGGTTTGTTTGGTTGGTTGGTTTTTTAATCACTGTATCATTTGAAAACAGGGAAGAAAAGTAAGAGACCTTCCCAATCCTTTTTAAGATTGATTTAGTCTTTGTTTTAACTAGGTACTATATTAAGACAAGAATGGTCCATCTCCATAAACATCCTTTGTACCCAAACACGTTTCTCTAAATAAGCTCAAAGATCACATTTCTCCAAATACTTCAAAGAACTGTCCCACTTGGGCAGCAGTCATGTTGGCTCCCAGTCTGCACCCCTGCTACAGCCTCCAAATTTGACCATTTCCTTGGGACCCCAGCCAGTTGCAACTCTTCTGCTTATTTTGCTGAGAATACGTTGTTTTTGACCAAGCACTAACTGGCTAAGGAGGTATAGGCAACTCCTAGCACTTGATTCCTAAAGGGTAAGCTAAAAAAGTGGCAGACTGCTGCAGCATATTATAAAAATCTCACTTCATGCTGAATAACAAAGCAGCTTCCCAACTCAGGGATTATTTTTGCTATGTGTTTGTTTCATATTCAACATCAGATTTGACGACCTGATGTTAATATGCTAAGCTAAAGATGCGTTCAAGCTCATCTACGGAGCAACACTGAAGAAAGCAGCCATGAAACCTATTCCCCTGGAAACAAAGTTCTCAAAAATTCATTAAAACAGTGTCAATAGACAGCTAAAGAGTTCCAGCTGCTTATCCCCCCTTCATTCTTACCACCACCACCACCACCACCCCACCCCCAAAACCAGAAAGATGAACAAAAAGACATTTTACCTGGCAAATAAAGACAAAAGTTTGCCGACCAGACCATTTGCGGCATCTACAGAACTTTTCAACAAGTTCATTCATGAGGTCTATCACGAAGGTTGATGTTGAAGCCATATACAGCTTTTTTACCATTTCACTAACCTTGAAGAAATGAGAAGAAAAAAAATACAAAAATTACTTCTGACCACTAACCCTCAGAAGTTTGAAATCCTGAATTTACTTAGATTGCTTTACCAGCTTGTAAGAAATCCAACGGACAGAAGACACTTTGTCTGCACAGAGGCTGAAAGCAATAGGTCGCAAGTAGTCATAAATGTCTCTGGCACTATACAGATCTAGAAGCAAGATCAGTTGCCTGCAAGACGGAAGAAGAACCAAACAGAGTACATTATAACGAGAAGAAAGGTAGCTTTAACTGTGAATATGATTGTTTATGCGACAACACTTGCCAAATATGCAATATGGCCATAATAAAGTTACTGAAAAGTAAAATCTTCTATTTTTCAATGCCGTCAGTTTGACTATGGGTCACTTGCAAACTTTAAATTGCCATTTACTCACAATAATGGCAAAATGCTGCATGAGCTCAAAGAATGAAAAACTAGGGGAGAGGCAAGGGAACCAAGGTTGCATTTGTAAGGCAGGGATCCTGATACCGGTTACAATGTACATGCATGCAGATGTGAATGACACTGCACGTACATTTGAATGCCTGGTAAAGACACCTCACACATATAACACATGTACAGCTACAAACCAACTACTCTGACTTAGTTTGGTAAGTGTCCTTGGTCACTTAAAGACATTGATTTATCAAATCAATAAACTACTACTACTTCAGCGTATACTGGACAACTAGAGAAATTATCAGTCATCTTCAATTTGTAATGAGTTGATTAAGATTTCAGCAGGTTGCAGACAAAATATGTGTCATGAATGGTAGAAAGCATGTCAAAGGAAGCGGCATGACATGTTACAAGCAGCCGATTGAACATCTCCATACCAGCAATAACAGGTAAGTGATTTGTAGTTACTAAATCAAAACAACACTTAAATGTAGCAAAAACATGACATCATGATCAGTTGTTAAACTAGGTCTTTTAAAATTTAATTCAAAAGATATGCTGTGATTAGCCATTACAACACGCTCATTTCATTATCCTGCTAAAGAAGCCCTGGTCCTACAGTCTCTCCTCACAGGGCACGTGCTGCAGCCTTGATCATCCTGGTGGCCCTCTGCTGAATTTGTTCCAGTTTATCAGCATCTTTTCTGTATTGGTATAGATGCATTACTCCAGATGAGATCTAATGAGTGCTGACTAGAGGGGACTAATCTATTCCCTCGATATACTGACTTTGCTCCTGTTGATACAGCCCAGGATTATGTTGCCAGGACACACTGCTGGCTCATGTTCAGCTTGCTGTCCTCCATGATACCCTGGGGCTGCTCCCAGGGCAGCCAGTCCTCAGTCTGTCTCACTGTCAGGGGCTCTTCCTTCCCATGCACAGGACTTGGCATCTGTCCCTTGTTGAATTTCATAAGGCTCCTGTCAGCCCCTTCCTCCAGCCTGTCTAGGCCCCTCTGGACGGCAGCCCTCCCCTCAAGCACATTGACTGGTCATCCCATTCTGATGCCACCAGCAACCCTGATGAGAGTGCACTCTGTCACCCCCTCCAGGTCATTGATAAAGATGTTAAAGAGGAAAGGTCCCAGAAGGCACCTATAGCTATACTCCAGGTAGAGTACAACTTACTACCCACAACCTCCTGAACCCAACCATCCAATGACTTCTACTCATCTAGCCTCCACCCATCCAGGTCATCATGTCCTAACCTGGCTATAAGAATATTGTGAGACATGACATTAAAAGCCTTGCTAAAGCAGTGGTAAATGACATTTACCACCCTTTCCTCATCCACAGATTCAGTTATTTAATCACAGAATGCAGGTTGTTCAGACATGATTTACTCTTGGAAATTCATGGTGACTGTTTTCATGAAGGAGTCCTCCTTCACATGCCCAGAAATAGTTTCCAAGAGGACCTGCTCCATGATTCCCAGGGCCTGATGTGAAGCTGACAAAATTTTAACTCCCCCGATAGTACCCATCTTCTAAAAGGCCAAAAGCACATCATCTGCCTTTCTCCAGTTCCTGGTGACTTGCCTTCATTTTCACAGCCTGGACCAGCTCTGTCAGCACCCTCAGCTGCAGCTTGTCTGGTCTGATGGATATACATGGGTTGAGTTCTCAAGTAATCCCTCAGTTGAGCCTATCTGAAACCTATTCTAAGCACAGAGAGCTGGGAAATCTTGTCAGTGAGTACCTTGTCAGGCTGAGCACCTCAGCCTTCTTTGTGCCCACCATCACTAAATCATCCACCCCATTCAGCAATGGTCCCGTATTTTCCTTGTTTATTCTTTTTTTTGCTAACATAACAGTACTTGACATCCCTCGCACGTCTCAGCTCTAACTGAGCTTTGACTTTCCTAACATAACCCTACATGCCTGGACAACGTTTCTAAATTCCTTCTGTGCACCCTGTCCCTGCTGTTTCCTCCTGTATAATCCCTTTTTGCATTCAAGCTCAGTCATGAGCTCCTTAGCCAAACCAGGCTCTTGATACCCCTCCTTGTTTTTCTGAGTATCAAGATGGACTCTCTTTCACTTGGAGGACGCTGTCCTTAAAAATCTGCTGGCTTTCCTGAGCAACTTGACCCTTCAGAGCTGCCTCCCACAGGAGCCCGCATACCAGTTCCATGAAAAAGCCAAAGTCTGCTCACATGAAGTCCAAGGTCACTATTCTGCCAATTGCTTTCTTTACTCCCCTCAAGATGTTGATCTCCTCCGTTTCATGGTCACGAATTCAGCCTACTCATCAGACACAGCAACTTGAAGTCAAATTGCTAGAACACTTCTATTGACTTCAAGAGCAATCAGATGTGGTCTTCTCTTTTGGCAGCTTCTTTTTTATGGAAGGGTAATGTTTTCAACATATGGTGATGGAAAAGACATTCAAGTTCCAACTTGAGCGCTTATAAATGATATACAACTACTGGGAATTTTTAAGCAAGGGGGACAAGTGGAGAAGGATAAGGACTATCCACTAATTAAAAATGAAATGAAGAATGTCACATTTATTCTCTGATTTTAACATTTTTAAATATCCACAACAATAAAAACAAGCACCCAGAAAACTACATACTCAGCCAGCTCTGCACGGAAACGCCAGTTCCTGCTGTTATCAGTCACTAGGAATTCCTGGAGCTGATAAAGATACTCTCGTCTTTTGTCAAGATGAAGAAGCTGTAACAGTAAGTATAAACTTACATAAAGAAATGTAGGCTACAATCAGCAGACAGAACAAGAGCTTTAAAATATAACTAATAGAACACTTGCTTTTATTCAAAAAAATAATCTTTAGCGAGTGTTGCTTTTCTGGGCTAAATTCTATCATGCTTAAGTCTATAGAATCACATGGGGCACTACTGAAAGCAAAATCTGATCTAGTCGCTGCTTTTACTCTAGGAAACAAGAAGGGTAAGCAATAAAGATAGTATTGATTTTAAATGTTTTATGATTTGTGTCTTTCAGCTCCAAAAATGAGGCAGTTACAGAAAACTCCTAAAAAATTTGAGAAGTTGCGCAGAGAGGTTAGAGCCATCAAAAGTCTTAATACCATCCACTGGAACCTATATATTGAATAAACATGCACAAACCAGGCTCTTCAGAGAAAAGAAAGTATCAGCAACACAGATGTCCTGCAAAACATACTCCAGTATTCAACAGACACCTGGATTCCGTCAAGCTTTGTACGGATTCCCACAAAGAGTTATACCGATGTTATGTTAAAAAGCAAGTGCATACAAAGAAATAAAGCAAAATACATAATTTCACTTGACCAGAGTTGAACACAGACATACCTTCAGAAAGTCATGCAAGTGTTTAAGCACACCTATCCTGACTTCATCTAGATCTTTTAAAAAGCCATTGAAGACAGGAACTAAATCTCCAGCTGTAAGCTGGTCTCCAAGGATGACAGCAAGTTCATGTATAGAAAATGCTAGTGTCCGCCGAACCTTCCACTGTAAAGTAAATAAATAAATGAATTTTATTGAATTTAAACTTGAGGGTCAGTATCTAAGCTGGACTCCTGGCAAGCTACAGTACTTACAAATACATTCAGCAGTGTCTCATGTAACAATTGAAAATGAAACTGGAAATTTAAAAAAGAAAAAAGAAAAAAGGAAAAGGAAAGAGAGGAGAAATGATGAGAGATAATTTCTTCTACCTGAATATCAAGGAACTAGGCAAATGAAAGTAATGAAAATATTTTCATTTTCCAGGTGTCGGGAAGGAAAATAGTATTCCTGACATCAGTACTCTTCCACACATTACTCTCTGCTTTAAATTCTTTTGGGTAAATTAGTTCCATACTACTACTCTCTCACTTGTTTAATTTATAAAACCAAACAACATATATATCCCACAATATTTCAGCTGGCATATTTTAGCTTCCGTAATAGGTAAAGTTTCATCCACACTGAGAGCTCAGCAGTCCAAGGACCAGTAGAGCTTTTACTCACCCTAGACTGAGAAGGCACTGTTTTAATGGAGTAATTATTTCAAGTCTTTTTAAAAATAAAATAGCATCTATTCTTTAGCCAGCACTTTCCAATTCCATGAGTACTGTTCTTTTGCTCTGGTTTGGCAATTCCATCTTAGTTCAGATTAGACCGGCGATAAACTCTGGACAGTTTTGAACACAGGGTAATTTGTTTTCACTTATGTTTTAAATTTATTAGCTAGTTGTTTTTAATGGCTGCAAAAGAGTTCAGAAAATATGAGCAATAGCCATGTATAAAATTACTTACTGCATATCACTGAGAGCTGCTGCTCTGACATAGCAAGCAGCAAGTTCAAGAGAGGTGAAGTAGTCTGAGAATGTTTAAAAAATAAAAAGAGCATCTCCAAAAAAGGAAACAAGGGAGAACTGGGAAACAACTGTAAAAGGCACAAAGCCACCTCCTTACCACCTGACAACAAGGAAAATGCTGCTATTTCCAGTATTTGTTTTTAAAACAGCAATGCTGCATGGTGACAGTGATGTTATTCCCTTATGACTAACTGGATGCAGCACCAAAAGGCCACCAAAAGGCCTGGTGTGAGGCTGACTCACTCAGCTCCAGACATGCCTGCAAGGGCACATGTCTGCTCACGCACAGCAGCACAGCTGAAGTTCTCATACCTATGAGAATCCCAAGCACTGCCACAAGATCTCAGGCGAGCAGAGGAAATCAAAGACCTCTCCTCACATTCCCACTGGAGATTCACTCGCCGCTCAAACTGCCCCATTTCCTTACTACCTGAGCACCGCACACACAGAGCTTCCTCTGAAACAACAGTTACACTTTCATTCATTATACAAATAACTAATATCAGCAACTGAAAGCTCCATGTAAAAAGCAGAGCAACCCAACACCCAGTAAACAAGAGAAATCATCATAAAAGTTCAGATCATTCATTATCACATCATAAAAGTTCAGATCATTCACTGTCAGCTTCTCGAGCTTACCTGCATGTCAGATGCCAGTGTCTCATAGGTATCTTTCAAACAATGCCAATTCTGTCTCCCTAACGTAAGTGCCACACCTGGCAGGCTGTAGGCACAGTGTTTGGCAATTTCGGTATCAACTGTTTGTGCACGAGATGGATCAGTCATTGATAAATACTGATCCAGCAAGGCTTGAGGTACAACATCCTACAGCAAGAAAAGGGTAGAGTGTTTACACTATTTTCAATAAATCCTCTTAAGGCTTACTAAAATTCCATGGCACACTGTCAGAAGAACATTTTTTTCCCCACAACTATAGAGTATTACTTAATTACAATGTCTTAATAAGAATGCAAAGATTTTGTATTTCCTAAGTTCCACCAAAAAGTTCCAAAGAAATGATGACATGACTCAGGGCTATATGAAAATATACAGACCAATGTAATAGATCAGTGAGTGGATCCCTGTCTACTTAGGCAGACCAGGAAATTAAGAGATGACATTCTACATTTCTACAAACATTCAGGCTCACAGGCTGTGCAAATTGGCCATTTTAACTCACCCATAAAAATACAGGCAGAACAGCAAATGACAAGACTTGCTCAGAAATAATTTTCCTATTCCTCTCAAAATCTTGGGGAGGTGGGAGAAGAAAACTAAATTAAAATGCCTTGAGCAGGGGGGGAAGGAAAGGGGGCAGAGTATAGTGTGTTCAATATTGCTTCCAAACTCCCTAAAGAGTCAGCATGAAGGAAAAGACTTCCTCAGAGACAGAGATCTCTGGTGAAGACCAATCCTCTCCACTGAGAAATTAAAGCATCTGAACTAAAACTTTGTGAAAACCTCTTTGTGCTGGCTCTGGCTTTGCTTCAGCTATTGTCAATTTATCTCAGGCACTGACTCTACCCAAGGCAGTGCACAAGAGTATTTCCCAGTTCGGCTCACATAAGCAGCAAGAGGCACCGAAGTTCCACTCAAAGAATCATGCTGGTGCAGGATGGAACACATAATACTGAACTACGTAACAACAAACATTCAATTCCTTTTGGGAAAAAATAACAAAGAGACAGTTCGAGCTTAACGAAACACTTTCACACCTTTTCTTCAAAAAGCTGTCATGGGGTGGGGGCAGTTCCACTCAAAACATTTAACAAAAAAATCCTGTTTCCTCAATAACCTAATTTCCATTACAGGATAGATCCATAGAAAATGAAACCAAATGAAACCAGAGCCTGGAAGTCTACAATAACTGTTCTCATGTCAAAAAATACTATCAATTCTTACACATAATTAAAACTGAAGCAACTGGTGAATTAAGCCATTATCTCTGGAAACATGGAATATTTTTAAATGACATATTTTAAGAGGTTTGCCATATTTTATAGAAAATAAATTACATCAGAAATGACTGAATGAAATGCATAAAAGAAATCCCCATATACATAAAAAAATTCCACTTATCTGATACACATAGGAAAAACAGAAGCCACTGTCATTTACCTGTACTTTGGATTTTCTTTCTTCTTCAGGGCTGAAACTACTGTTGGTGCTCAAATCTGAATCATTATGAATATAGTGAAGTGTAGAATCCATATTCTATGGAAAAAGAAAAAAAAAGAAAAGGTCACACAAAATACACTCAAGGATTGAACACAAAACAAATGCCAACATCAAGAAGTGCTGTCCCCACCTCAGGGTCTTTTTCTTAGATTAAAGGAATACGTGTTTTAATATCAAATACAATTTTGCTACAGCCCGAAATCAAAAGGCCTGTAAGATAAATCTTTCTGCTTTAAATTTCAAACACATACTCCTCTTATTCTGCTCCATTTTGGTTCTTATGGAATGAAAATCACAGGAGAGGAGTACCTTTGAGACTGCATTAAGGAAAATGTAACTAACATGTGAGTCACATTGCTTCTTCCCTGAAGGGAAAATGAGAAAACATCTGTAGCGGATTTTGTTGGATTTGTTGCTTTGGATATGTGCTAGAAAAAGGTCAAAACAAAGCCACCCTCACTCTTAAGAGTAGAAACTGATGAGACTTAGGCTGTTGCTCCTTTCCCAGAGGTGATTATTCTATAATCCTCTCTACAGATGAGCTTCACCTGATAATACAGAGTTCTAGTGGGCCATAGCTGCTGACATCAGTCATCATATCTCTCAGCAGTTCTATTAAAACAATTTTTAGCAATCATTCAAGCATCCTGGCTACATATCTGGGCCTTGAAGATAAGGACTGAGAGACTGATTCAGAACTCTACTCTACCGAGCAGCAGAGGTTTGATACGCTATGATAAACTGTGCTGCTGAGGGGATGCACTGTCACTTTCCTACCAGTGGAGTTCCCCAAGTACAATGGACTTTGCATAATCAACCATGAATTTCAAGAAGTATGTGATGAATATTTGGAAAGTAGATCAGGCTGCTGTCTGGTTGAACAGGACACAGGCATTTTTGCTAGATATGAGCCAAAGTATCTATTCACAGACACTGCAGGGTGAGCTCTCGGGGTCAACACAAGCACCGAGAATATGCCTACTCTACCAGCTGTTCAGATCAGTTTGACAATGAGAATTTTCAAGCAAACTACAAACTTCTTCAAAAAAGCCTCCAGGATACCATCTGTCTTCCTTGGTTTGACTTCAGACAGTTGCTTTTTTCTCTTCCATGATCTGCTTTCATCTAAGCATTGGGCTGTAATTTTAGTCACTGAGGTATAATTACAGGTGATAAAGAACAGGCAGAGCTGTGAGGCAATTGCATTTCACCAGCACAGCAGCCCAAATCACCTGTCAGGCTTACCACGCAGCAGCAAGAAGGTGTCAAAGAGCCAAGGAAAGAACAGATCTGCAAGTAACTCCATAACTAAATGTGTCCAGCAGCATACAACTCCAACTATAAAACCTCCAGAGGCTCTGGAAACCATCTCTGCAGGATGTTAGTTTGCCAGTCAATTCTTCACTCCTTTTTAGCCTTTTTTTTTTTCCCCAGAAGAAGAGATCATTTTCAGCATTGCCAGAAAGTCACTGGCTTTCAAATCAAGAAATTATGAGGTAGCCAGCACAACATAGCTATAGTGCTTTCTATGAATTGCCCAGGTGCATGGGACTGGAGGCTCGTCATCCATTCTGCTACAACAAAAATGAAAAGACTCCATCTCACAATCTCTGCTACCCTGGCTCTAAAAGAACAAGTTTTAAAAAAAAAAAAAAAAACAAAAAAAAACAAAACCAGAAAACTTTATTGATTGAACTAGGTTGAACGACTAAATATACTGAAGGGTGTCACAGATGGGAACGTTTTTACCCAGCCACTTTTAAAGTCAGATACGCATTCCAGAAAGGAAGAGCTTCAGTAAAGAAGAACTACAGCATCAGTCGTTATTTAAGTGAATGCAGTATCTCTATGCCTGCAGATGAAGTTCCATCTGTACTTTTTCCACGTAACGTGCACACACTGAACTGAGCATTGCAGAGAGCCGGGACATAAAAATTCAGCAGGGTTTAGCCTGGAAATTTCTTGCATACCAAACTGGTGAACCACCACCTCCGAGATGCAAGATCTTTGTCATGGCCTTACAAATCTCCTATGGGAGGTTTCCTTTAGCTGCAGTGTAACAAAAGCTCCATGGTTGTGCTCCATACACCCCTGCTTTGCGACATGGGTTGCACACAAAGCCCACAGCACCAGGAGAAGTGGTGCTGGCGTTTCCTGGCAGGGCAGCTGGCCCAAACACAGAGAGACAAGGCCAGTAGCAGGGGTCCAGTCTCCTCCTGGCATCCACCCTTTTCTTAAAGAGAGGTACTTGTGCCAGACAGGATGGGCAGATCTTAGTCCAGTTTCCTTTCTCGTTCTTTTCCTTCCCTTCTTCCTCTACCTCCAACCAAAAAAAGAAGACTCCCACACCCAACCATTGGGAATACGACTTGGGGGATTTCTTGAGACTTACATTCATTTATCAAACCTTACAGAGAGCATATAACCTAAAGAAAACAAAAATGGTGGCTCTTGAGGAAAAATAAAACAGCTACCCTCATCCTCAACAAACAAGCTTCATCTATGTCCCAAAACCTTACCTGTTCACTTTATTACAACATATATTTTCATTTGAATAGAGAATTTCTCTTTAACATGTAGCATTAACTCCTTCGGGAGCCTATACAGCTGCAGGACAAGCAAAGTGTGGTTTTGCTTTGTGGTATGTGTGTAGAACTGTGAAGGCTGCTTTCAAATATAAAATGCTGTAGCTTGATTTTTCTAAAGTGTCAGTACCATATTGACACTTCGCTATGCTGACACTTGAGAAAAAAAAAAAAAAAAAAAAAAAAAAAAAAAGACCACCCCCCACCCACCCCCCAAACAAAAAACCCACAAAAAACCCACCTGTGAAAATCAGAGCTCTCTTCACTGCTAGGGGCAACAGTTCACTTGCTCAACAGATCACAGCTTGATTCCCAAATTCTAGGTCACCTCTATAATATCCTTTCACTTTTAAAATGAGGACTTGATTCAGTGCCAGTAACAAACAAGGAACTGACAGATTAAGAGCACCCTTTTAAAGAGTAAAACCGAAACATGCAAAACAATGTATAGCAGCAACGTGACAGGTTCTTAAACTTTCTGTCAGCATCATACTCTGTAAAGAAATGAAATGCGGGACAGGTCCCTCTGAACAAACAGCCCCCTCATCACCTCCAAAAATTAGAAGGACGGAGGATACATTTACACTGTCATTTTACAGGTTAGCATTAGAAAGAAGTGACCACAACAGATCCTATAATAAAGAAATACATTGAGCCTGACATCAGGAATTGGGGGCAGGTTGTTTTTTTTAAATGAACAAAGAAACCACATCGGTAGCGTTAAATTATGATTGTATATAGACAGCAGTATCCAAGTAAATGTCACATTCCTCCACTCCCAAATGTTTTTGGGCTACACAGTACTCCAACAGCTTAGGTGGAAAGTTAATTAAATGTCATCTGCTCTTGATTAAAGAAGGTTGAAAATGTCTTCACTGGACTGATGTCAACACCTAGACTTCTCAAAGACATTTATCAAAATTTCATCTGAAAATACCATTTAAGCAATATGATTCAACAAATCGCTGTAATTTTATAGAGCATATTTTGGAACCATTGCTTTCTACACAGCTGTGGCTTTTAATACCACCAAAGCTTGTGGCACTATATGCAGTGAACATAGTGGGTTTGGCCTAATACACAGTACAGAAGAGAAAATGGTATCAAATGCCACAGACTTCAATTGGGCAGGGGGCAGTGGTGGGGTGCTGAAGTGCAAAAAACTTTAAAATGTTACTGATTGCTACAATCCACTTTCTCTTTCAGCAGTCCTCACAACATCCTAGATTGCAGAACCTGAACTTCTCTTATGCAGACCAGTAAACTACTATAAAAGACTCCAACAGGGAGCACATAGAACAAAGTACCTCTTTCTCCAGACGGGGGTGGGGAAAAGGAAAAAAAAAAAAAGCAGCAAAGGGGGGGAGGGCACTGGAAAAGGGGATTAACTTATTATCAGTAGGGCTCTGTTTTAAGTAAGGCAATTTCACAGTAATAAACTGCAGTAGCATTAAAACATCTTAAAATGTGATAGTCACAATAGAGATTTTAACAGAAACAATTTCAAGAATTTACATGGACAAGCACAAAACTGGCAAAACCAAAAGGCACCCAACACAACCCATTTTATTTTAGTAGCTAGTGCTTCAATACAGCCAACAAAATGGAACGTCATATTAGCCAAAAGTAGGAAGCATTTGGCTGCAATTACCGCACGAATGCAAAATACAGCTCTATTACGGGAGCCCTGGAAATCCTAAGCGGGGTAGGGGAGTGGGAACAGAGTACAAAACTTGCTTCTTACCTCAACAGTGTCACCAATTAAAGGCACAATATCACCCAGTATAGGTTTAAAATTTTGTTGGTCATTGATGGTTAGTTCAGTCTGTGACTCTGTTTCCTTGCTGACGCTGGCCATTGTCTCTTCTTGAGGATCCAAACTGGATGCTCTGAGTGCAGCAGACAACACCTCCACTTGTGCTGCAGCATATGAAAGAGAAATACATGAGACTGAACTGCAATAAACTTTTAGCAAGTCCACAAATCAACTTTTAGACAGTGACTAATTAACTGAAGGATGGAGGAAGAACTACGGGGCAGGTACAAATTTAAGATTATTGACTATTAGTATATCCCAAACTGGGGACAACTAGCATAAAATGTAAGGCAGATTAACACTCCACTCTCTTCCTAGGGTGCTCAACCATACTGAAGTTCAGTGAAATTTGTCTGAAAAGCAAAAAAATCCAGGAGTAAGAGACTGCTGTTATGGCAGGATCCATTCTTTAAGAATCTCGGTAAATATTAATGGCACAAATAGTCTTTGGGGCAGAACAGCACATGACTACTAACTTACTGACTGGGTCTTTTATGGGAGGTAGGAATAAGAAAGAGAAGGGAGAAGTAATTCAAATAAAGCTTGAGAACAGGTTTATTCATTCAGAAAGGATTTTGGTTCTGAGAAGCTCTGTCTCTCTATATATGGCCATTAAATTCTTAAGTTTTTATAACAACTCTAAAGCAAGATCTGTATAGGAAGATCCTAGAGCCCAGTAACTCTTTTCTGCACAGGATACTTTAGACTCCTTGCATCCTCCAAATGAATAATGAAGGTTGCACTGTTTATGTCCTGTTACTCATCAAAAGAATTAGCACTTCACACTGCCATCCACTCTTGAAAAAGATCCAGCAGTTCCGAGACTGCTCTGCTTTCCATCCCTCCGCTTACTGCTAATGAAAAAAAACCTTTGTTGAGTAATGTTCCTTGGATATAGCCTGACCTAACTAAGCAGATCAGGTATCAGAGGCAATCTTAGCTGCAAGCAACACAGAATTCAGTGCAGACTGATCTACCCTGCCTCTCTCCTTCTCCACTTCTTTCCAAGAAGGTAAGAAGGAACAATCTCCTGACCCATTAAATTTACCCAGCCATCCAGAAGCTCTGCTCCTCAAACTCCAAGGTTTCTTAAATGCTCATTGTGAAATTAAACACAAAACCATATGCTCGTTTTTAATCTCACATTGCCATACTAAGTTACAGAATCTGAATTTCTCCCTCTAGCTTTTTTGATAGGTTTATTAACAGGAATTAGACAAAGAAAGTTGGGACTCATTTGTAGACAGAAGGAACAGATATGCAATACATCTGTTACAAGAAGCAAAATTATAACTCAGCACAATCTTAGCTAGCAAAAAGTTGGAAAACACGCTACAGATTCACTGGTTTCTAGAAGGAGTCTGATGAGCAGAAGTAAAGATAATTCTTTTCAATACGCAATGCTAGTTCTGTAACTGCGACAAATTTCTGACAGAATAACCGAAAGATATTCTTGATGTATTACGGTAATTCACCTCAACAGGAAAGATCACAGCAAGTTAGGAACTTAAAAACAAATCCAACATCATGCTAATACTTCCATTATAAAAGACATTATGTTGGAAAATATAATTTCAATATATATCTATAACATATATTTTAATATATAATTTATACATAAATATATAAATTTAGGAATTTTACAGTACAATTTGTAAGATTAACAAAAGCTTGCTATGACTTCACTATTCAAGTGTTATTACTTCACTGACAATAAACCTCTGTACTTTAAGGCCCACGAGAATAAACAAGATCAAGGCTAGTGTATTCCTCCAAAACTTAAAATTTAAATAAACCACCCCAAACCCATGCAAAATAGGTGGCACCTGCTAGGGCAAGAAATGCCTGTTAGATTTCCAGTTTATTCTCATTCAGAGAAATCATAAAGAAAATTAAAAGGAATTATATCTTGCTGCACATCAAGGAGACATTTTTCATGAAGACTTCTTTCATGAAGGACAACTTAATGAAAAATGTACACTCCTCTCATTTTCACTTAAAAGTCAAGAAAGCTTGCCCTGACTAGGTAACACATACTGCTTCAACACTGAATATGTATTTACTGAAAAATTCACACAGAGCTCCAAAGATTACTTCTAGTAACAAAAGTGAAGGTATCCACAGCAGTAATTGGGAATTTTCCAAGACATACTTCCCACCCATGCCCCCCTGTCAACCTGCACTCCTGGACCACCCTTGCTTAGGGGCTTAATGGCATGGAGACCACACGTATCCTGATTTCCTCTGCCTGCCCTAGAGGAGATACGACACAAATGTGCATCTCTTCAGCTTCTTGTCAATTCTACAATCCCAAGACATGGGGATGAAGGACAGGAGAGACCAAACTCCCAAGGATTTCATTGATTGGCCAGTGCCTTCTTTCTTCTTTGAGTGCTTCTCCATAGTTCCTGTCACCGAGGGTGACTCCAGTGCTGTCATTCACTGCAAGGTGAATGACCTGAAGTTCATACACATCTTAAGATCCTAGCCAAAAAAAGAGCCAAACCCAGTCACTATGAAAGGCTCCAGAATGGTGGAGCGCTTAGTAAAGGAGGAAGAGAGAGAGAGTGCCTTATTAAATTTCCTGGTCCTCAGGAGTTTCTTTCAATATGCTTTATTGTTGTTTTCTGTTTCTCCTGATGTTTCACTAGAAGACATTGATATTTCTAGGTAGCACGCTCCCTTCTTTTTTCTGAAGGATCTGCCTTCCTTACCCTCAGTTCTTACTCAGAGGCAAAAGCTATAGGCTGCATTAATGGGTACAGAGATGCAAGTAATTAAAACGTAAAAATAAAAGGCATTTCTTCTCCCCTTCCTCCTCACCTACTGTTCCTACTGGTTTATGGCAGGCAGCGCTAGTAGCCTAACTTATAGTTTTCATAAGGGAATGGGATCAATTGACCCCACTTTTAGGTTGGTTTATCCCTATTAGGTCTCCATTTGGCAAAGCAGCCTATAACTGGCATAAGCCAGTTAGCCTCAGTAACCTGCAAGTCAGGCTTTCCCTCTCCCCCCAAATAATATTAAGAAAAGCTGATGTTACATGACTTAGCACTTTCTATGCAGATAAATAAAGCTGAAGAAAGTACCTCTGGAAAGAAAAATAAAGAAATAAAAACATCCAGGGAAAGAAAAGCAACCTCTGAAGTAAGTGAAGACAGCAGCAGCCTCAGGGAACTGGAAAAAGGTGACCTGAATAAAGACCCTGTGATAATTTTAAAAGAGCTGGCATACTTCAGAGGAATGTGCAGGTTTCCATCTCCCAGTTTGAGACCCTCAGGATGTCTGGCCAGTGGATTGGAAAGGTCCTATTAAGAGGGATTACATACCACTGCTTAACTTTGCATAACTTGTGTAGCTCTGCTAGCCAGTAGAGTTTGGCTGTGAGAAGACAGGCTGTCTTTATCTTGGTTGCTGACTGCTCAACTACCTATTACTCAGATTTATCACTTTGGCAACAAGCTATTTCTGGAAAGCAAGCCTCAAGGTAAAGATTTTTGGGAATGAGATTCAGTTAAAGCAGTTCACCCCTTCCTGAGAATGAGATTACAGAAAAAAAAAGTGTTCTATGGTGGTTGCTGGTCACTGTTAAAAAATTGCATTTGCTAGACACCTCATCAGTCTCCATGCCTTGGAGCAAGGATTTGAAGTTTGAAATGGAAACTGCTCTGATGATAGGGAGGTGCATTACAGAAACACAGAAAACAGTCAAGTTACAAACCTAAAAACCCCCAAAACAAACAAACAAAGCCACCCAAAAACCCCACACAATCACAAGCACTTTATTCTGTGTATTTAAACAGTAACCCACTAGTGCTTGGCAGCCAAGACATCTGGAAAATTGGGGTATGCACTGAACATACTGTACTCTGGGCTGCACGAGCGGCAACGTCTTTCCTTTCAACTGATGCTTCCCCTTGTCATGGTATGCTGAGGTACCCCTTAGACAAAAACTGATTTATTCTGTTCTCAATACTTCTGCTATAATGATTCAAGCAGGTGAGGGAAGGAGTACCTCGCACAACATAGAAGGGTGAGGTGAGACGTGAAGTAGACGAATGCAGAATCCAGAAATGAAGAGAAATGAAAACAAAAAAGGAAATAGGAGGGGAAATACATAAGGAGGAAGGGGATGGGGATAACAAAGGTATAGTAGTTGCTATGGATGCACATACAGTGCAAAGCACAGGAAAAAAACAAAACCAAAAAAACCCAAACCAACCAAACAAACAAAAAACCAAACTGTACTTCTCTGACTCAGAAAGAATCATTGCCGGTTGAACTCCAGTACCAAATCTCCACACCTGCCTCAACTGTCAGGGACTGGCTCTGAAACCAACTAGCAAAACAGAAATCAGCCTCCGCTGATTGTACCATAAAGGATATCATCTTATTACCATCACCAGTTATTCTGCAGAGTCAAATAATGAAAATTCAGCGTGATCTTAAGAACCTTCAAAAAACCCTGTGCCAATGACCCTGGCCAATACGGTTCCACACAACAGGTATTAATTTTCTTCTTTTTTTAAGTTTAGAAAATATTCTCCAAAATAAAACATGTTAAGAGAAGGATGCTAAAGTTGCACAGCCAAGCACTGAGAGGTTTAGGTACAGCCAGAGTTAAGGTCGTCTGAACAACTTAACCTTATTGACACATGCATAACATCATACAGTAACAGTGTCATTCTGAAACTACACTTCTGCTAACTCATCCCCACTTCATCTTGTGATGTCTCTAGGATGCTTGCCCCATTTGTTATAGAAACTAGAAGATGTGTACCTATGGGTGCTCTACAGTATGGCAGGCCTCTGCTTACCCACCACAGAGAACACAGCATCTTCCACTCCCATCCCTTGGCTGGGAATGCAGCGACAAAGACAGGAGCACACCGTGGAAGCAGGAATCCAGGACTTGGGTCACAGCAAACCAATGAAGAAAATAAGTGCAAGAAAAAGGTCACAGGGATTTAAAAGGAAAGAAAGAGAGAAAGAAAGGCGGGGGGGGGCGGGGGCGGATATCCTAGCTTGCTCAGTCTTTGCTGTCAAGAACCAGCCCACTTACAGTACAAGACTCAAAAACACAATGGCTAGTCTTGCAGGGACGTGCAGGGAAAGACCCTAAGCACCACTTGGGACCAGGGCTGTTTGGCAAACACTTGTAAGCCACGTATACTGGAGACAAAATTATCTGTGAAATTAAGAAGTTTCATAAAACTTCTATGAAAATAACAAATTAAGACAACCTTTGGACTGCATATTCATACCATCGGTTTGCAACAACAGTTTTAGATGGTAAAAATGGAAGCATTATTCCTGGTATTGCCACGAGCAAAGAGGTGGTCAGGGCTCTGATCTTCTGGATCACCCCCAAAAGGGAGTCTACCTCCCTCTTGTCACAATTTATGGAGTGTAAGGTCCAAAACACAGGCATTAAGTCAGCTACTTAGAGACTAAAGTCTGGATACCTACCACTTCTATGTGCGCTTTAGTGTTTGAGACAAGCATGCAAAATGAACCTTATTCTGTCAGTTTTGGTCTCAATTTCCTTATGCCTCAATGCACTTTGTGTAAAATTAAAATAACAACATTACCAAATCAAAACAGGCATGTTGTTAAATTCTAGCTTCTGAAGTATTTACACTGAATAATGAGAATACAGGCAAGAAGAAAAAAGGGTACAAGGTTTAGAAGGTCTGTTTCATGGGGCTTCACTACACAGCCTTGACCAAGTCAGAGGTACTGAATGGAATACAAAAGGTGACTTGAGTAATTAAGACCATCCACCCCCACCCCAGCCCAAATTAGAATAAATGGCACCGGTAACCCTAATTCAAATCTTTCCTAACTTGTGGGCACATGGTGTTGACAACACAGTAACAGTTTTCTTCTACTGAAATGCACGAGTGCTAGTCAACAATTGCACAGAAAACCTCTTGACACCTAGTCAAGAGAGCTACAAAAAAAACCCCCTTGCTCTGAAACAAGACATGAACACACACATGACAGAAACAACCCTGTAACACAGAACAATTCTGGATGTACAAATACATGCCTACATAAATCTTCATTAAAAGTGTTTAAGATATGTTCTGTAACTGGACAGAACAAGGTTTTATAAAACAAACCTAAACAGCACTGCAAGTTTTAACAGTGGGCTTCAGAGATGGGTTATGTGAAGACTGAGATCATTAGCAAGGCTGAAATTTTTTTCTCTCTTTCCTTAGAGAGTGCCCAAAGCACTCTTAAAGCCACAAAGTTTCATCTGCTGACTTCACAATACATTAAATAGAAGCAGCCCACAATGGATTTAAGAACAGTTATTAGCATATCAACCTACTAACAACAAGAAGAAGTTGAAAGCAGTATCAGTTTATTCTAAAATGTTTTTCACGCTCCCAACTTGCCCCTCTTTTTCCTTCCTGCTTTTTCTGGTATATAGGCATGCTTTCCCCTAGGGATTCTTCAGCTCCAGAATAACATGGCTTCTTCCTCAGTGGTACCTCTGGACTTTCTGACTGTGACACTCAAGCTTGATGTGCCTTAGAATTTATTCACCATACAAATACTAAGAGAAACGTATCTCCAGTAGGTATGTGTGAAATAGCCAAGTCATTTTAGCCCAGGAGGTATCTCTGCAGTGCTGCTCCACCAGCTGGTCATACTTACGAAACCCTTCTCCACCCTTCAAGAGCTTTTAAAATGGAGGATGTGTGCTCACTTCAAGAATTCAGTTTGGATCAATTCTCAGTTTGACCCAATAAACTTGGCACACTTAAGTCAACCACATGAGACTGCAGTAATAAAGACCTTGCAGAAAAATGGAGAAGACTAATTCATGAAAAATAAAATGGATAATGCATAAAATGAAAACCATTTATCACACTTTGATATTTTAAAAAAAAAATAATAAATCTTAATCTGCCTTCTTATTTTGCATGTATGCTAATTACAAATTAATTTTCTGATCAACAGCTTATGAACCATCTATTTGATTATACTGTCAAAACAGGCAGTCAGAAGTTTATACTGCTAACTGTATGTGTGTTCAGTTTATGGAAGGAATCATACTACCTTCAAACATCTTTGCACAAATGCAAATTCCCTTTTAGTTCATCATCAATTTTCACACTTAAATCAAAATAGATACAATCTCTTTGAGGATCAGGAAAAAGTAGTACTTCTGACTTAAAACAACTGAAAGGTTGAAGCCCAAACTGCTAAAGCAACATATGCATATCTCCAAACACTAAAAATGCTTCGGTATCTTTACTATACCTTTAACATCTGGATCGTCTATATGGGGTTCCAAATTTTCTATCATTTCTTCCAATTCTTTCCTTGTTGCCATAGGAATGTTTGGAGACACTGGCATAGTGAGTTCCTGAATTTCTCTATCGAGTATTATCTCAGAAGTCTGCTGAAGCTCGAAGTCAATATCTATTTCAGGAAGTGGAGTCCTCCAGAAATGGAAAGAGTTGTACAATTCCTGCTCTGAAAGAGAGGTTTCCTGTGAATTCAGCCCAGCTTCCCGCAGACCTGCTGTACAGCAACGAGAACTTCGCTTGTTCTCATCAGCCATTTCCCCACAAGATTCTGAAGACAAAGTGCAATGGAAGGATGACTCAGTCTGGAAATCACTTTCCCTCTGGGAGTTATTTGACACTGTATTTTGATCTTCCATGGCATTTTCAAGTTTTGTTGCAAAACCGTCATTATCAACATGTGAAGACAGATCCTCTGTCCTGTTGTGCTCATCCTCTGTTGTGACATCTTCCATAGTCCTGACTTGTTCACTGTTGAGTGCAAAAGCAAATGAACATTTAAAAACCAAAATATACTTGCTGCAAACAGATGCTCTTGAAAATACACACACATGCTATCAGCTTGCTGTTTATTAAACTAGATTTACTTACAGCATAGCAAAACAAATCACAGAATCACAGAATGGTTGAGGTTGGAAGGAACCTCTGGAGGTCATCTGGGCCAAACCCCCCTGCTCAAGCAGGGCCACCCAGAACCAGCTGCCCAGGACCATGTCCAGACAGCTTCTGAATATCTCCAAGGATGGAGACTCCACAGCCTCCCTGGGCAATCTGTGCCAGTGCTCAGTCAACGTCACAGTAAAAAAAGTATTTCCTGATGTTCAGAGGGAACCTCCTGTGTTTCAGGTTGTACCTATTGCCTCTGGTCCTGTCACTGGGCACCACTGAAAAGAGCCTGGCGCCGTCCTCTTTCCACCCTCCCTTCAGGTATTGGTGCACATTGATAAGATCCCCCCTGAGCCTTCACTTCTCCTGGCTGAGCAGTCCCAGCTCTCTCAGCCTTTCCTCATAGGAGAGATGCTCCAGTCTCTTCATCATCTTTGTGGCCCTTCCTGGCCTCTCTCCAGTATGTCCATGTCCCTCTTGTAGCGGGCAGCCCAGAACTGGACCCAGCACTCCAGTTGTGGCCTCAAAGGTGCTGAGCAGAGGGAAAGGATCACCTCCCTCGACCTGCTGGCAACACTCTTCCTAATGCAGCCCATTGGCCTTCTTTGCTTCAAGGGCACATTGCTGGTTCATGGTCAACCTGGTGTTCACCGTGACCCTTAGGACCTTTTCTGCAAAGCCGCTCTCCATCCGGTGAGACCCCAGCCTGTACTGCTGCATGGAGGGTTGTTCCTCCCCAGGTGCAGGACTTTGCACTTCTTGTTGAACTTCAAGAGGTTCCTGCCAGCCCTTTTCTTCAGCCTATTGAGGCCCCTCTGGATGGCAGCATGACCCTCTGGCACATCAACCACTCCTCCCAATTTTGTGTCATCAGCAAATTTGCTGAGGGTACACCCTGCTCCACCATCCAGATCATTAATGAAGATGTAAACAGGACTGGGCCCAATATTGACCCCTGAGGTACACAACCAGTTACCGGCCTCCAACTATGTGTTGCTGATCAGCACCCTCTGGGCCCAGCCATTCAGCCAGCTGTCAATCCACCTCACTGCCTGCTCATTCAGCCCATACTTTATCAGCTTCTCTATGAGGATTTTATGGGAGACCATGTCAAAAGCCTTAAAGAAATCTAGGTAGACTATATCCACTGCTCTCCCTTGTCTATCAAGTCAGTCATTTCATCTCAGAAGGTATACCCTAAGGTATCCTAAATTACTGAATAGTCATGTATTTTTAGGAAATAACTGAAAGTTCTGGAAGTCTATTAAGTAAGATGAGAAGTTCCAGATCTTTCCGTTTACCAAGATAAATACTCAATTTACACAGGAAAGTTAATTTTCTTAACTTGCAGTTCATACAGAAGAAAAACAAGGAAGAAAAAATAATTTGTAGATTTAGCAAATTATTTACCTGTTTTCCTGTGCAGAACCACAATCTTCTGGGTTTTTACCATCATCTTCTTTAAAGTACTGGCCACTGCTGGATGGATTAGCAAAAGTTGATATGAAAGGCCCCAGAGACTGAAAAGCAGCTTGGCGGACCTAGTGGAAAGAGTCCAAGGTGAAAAAAAATTATTTATATATATAAAGCTTGCTGTCCTATAAAACATAAACACCTGCTACTAGGAATTGGAAGGGTCATAAGCCTACTGAGGAAAGCAACAGCAGAGGCTCTTGTCTGGAAAGAGTCAACAAGCTGTATAAGTAAAGTGCTAAGTGAAAAAAAAAAAGTTAAGAAAAAGCAAGGTAAAAACAGTTAAATCACAGGTAACTAAGTTGACAGGCCTATTCCCCACAACCAAAGAAATCACAATTATTTAAACAGTAGAAGCAGGTAAATTTGAAAGCTCAGTTGAGAATTTTAACAACTTGAAAGGAAAAAAATATGTGCGGTGAACAGACGTTTCACTACCATAAGTCTGACTGATGATAAGCTCTGCATTTCTTTCCCGTTCCTATTTGTCTGTGTTGTTCACTTGCTCCTCCTTTCTCCTACTATTTATTCTCCCCTTCTCAGCAATTATCTTATCTACCTCCATTTTTATTATTTGATTAATTCTTCTGGGCTACAACTTGCACGACTTTCAAGGATCCAAGAGCTCATTCTCCTGTGCAAAAGATCTACTTTTGGCTCTCGGAAGTAGTCTGCTCAATAACAAACTTAACAAGGTTTGAAGAGTAGATCTTCAATTAAAAAAAAAAAAACCCAAACAAACAGCAAAACACCAACCACCAAAAACAACAAAAAAAACCCCCAAAACCAACAACAACAAAAAAACACCACAAAAAAAAACCCCCACAAACCAAAACCAAACAAACCCTAAAACAACAACAAATACTACCACCCCACTGCCCCACTCTCCCCCCAAAAAGGTGGTGGTGGTAAGGAATCTGAAGAAATACAATTAAGTCACATCTAACTTTCCAGTTTTGTTAACGATTTTCAGCCATGTTAAGTCACAGGCAGTTCTTTAGCTAAGAAAAGCTATCCCACTGACACAGTTTTTCTTACATACGGCAATGAAAATGTGAGGGACTCTCTACACCCATTGACAAACTAAGCAGTCTAAGAAGAATTTTGCTTGAGGTGCATGAAACAAGTTATGTTACCCACACCTATGAGAAGTTCTATAAGGAGTATTGCAGTAAAATCCTTTAAATATGACAACTATTCAAGAAATAAAAAGCAATTCTTACCCATCGTGAAGGATCGCTAATCAAATTAATAAAAAGGGTTGACAATTTTGTCCTCCGGACTTCCTGTGATGTTGCACAAGAAACTGCCATGAAGCATTCAGCACAGGCTTTCCTAACTCCCCACACATTATCAGAGCAGAGCTGGAAAAACCTGGGCAGCTGTTAGGAACATAGTGAGTAAGTTTGCAAGTCTTAACAGGTAGTACTTGTTTCAAAGCAACTTCTTTTTTCACATTCATTTCCTTCATCTCCTTCTCTGCCCTCATACTCAGATGCATTAGTTTAACATTTGCAAGACAAAGAACACACATTCAGTAGCACCGCCCTTCTAATCAGTTGCTCTCCTGTTACTTACAGATACAGATAAGGAACATTCACCTCTCTGAAGAATAGCAAGAAAGTACTAACTTTCTAACCTGATTTATATCCAAAAAAATACCCCAAAAACCCTACTCCAAAAATATCCTCAAGCCCAGAAAACCTATCATAAGACAAAACCTCATTCTCTACACCATTCTTTTAAAGCAGATAACATTGAAAGGAACAAAAACATAAAGAACACTGGTGCATTAACATTTTACCTATCAGAGACAACTTCAGATTTTTGTAAGATTCCCACTGAAATGCAAAGGAAGAGCATCTTCAGAAAGAAAAAAACCCTTTTTTTTCCACCTAAACTTCTCGTTGTTAGATTTACCAATCTCTGTCACCACCTACCCTACAAAGCAGGAAGCTGAACTGCATAGAGGAATGAGAGAAATACTGCATTTGGTGCAAGAGAAAACAGGTTTGAACACAGCAGTGGTTTTACTAATAAAACTGAAGCATTTTGAAGTTGCTCAGGTGCTCGGGTTTTTTGGAAACAGTAATGGTAAGGATGAAACTGTGGAGAGAGTGCAGGTGAGGCAAAGACATGCAGGTCATCACATAGCTGCCTTTGCTTGCAACAGGCAGAGTGGTAAGATACAAGTACTACAATAATGACTGTTGCTACAGCTCTGTTCTCCATTATTGACATTCAGCTGTTCCTACTTTCTGCAGCAAAGTTTTCTGGACTTTGCTTCTGATTGAAAAAAGCATTTATGTTACAAAATGAAGTTTTATCTAAAGCCATTCAGCTTTTTGCCCCCCCCCCCCCCTTTTTTTTTTTTAAAATAACCCAAAAAGAGCAGAAAATGGTATTTTCTGTTATGGAAAGAGATCCCCAACCATCAGCCACATGTTTTCGCTTTCACATAAAATAACCACCACTTCTTTATTTCACAGTCTAATTGCACCCACTACCAAGTTTTAATCCAAATTCATGACACATACCACTAAGAGAGCATTTGTGTGAGAGAAATTAATTTACATCCCCAATCAAGAAACATTATGGGATGTAAATCTGCACAACAATACTTCATTATCAAATGGCTTGAACCACACAGGACCTAGGGAAAAATGCATCAAATGCTGCAAGAACATAAGAAATGCCCTGAGGGTCACACTAGGTATACCCATCCCAATACCACATCTGCAAAAGGCTGCAGAGCCTCTTGTTGAAGTCATGCCTGCATTTACCCTCTTTCCATACAAGTCCCTCGCTAATTCATGGCACCGACTCATCAACCTCCTCTGGCCCTCAACAAGCTCACTGTCCACATCCCCAAAA